CCATCCACTGAAGGAACGGCTCCTGAGACTCATGACGACCTGTTACCAAGACCAAGGGAAAGTTGGTAACCTTTACAATGCATGAAATAAAAGAACCTATTTGGAAAAAGACCCAACTGATGCACTAAAATCAGGTCATTTGAGAAGATCAATACTGAATTTGCAAAAACAGTAGACATGATCCTTAATGGAATCGTTCACCCATAAATAACAATTTGCTGAAATTGACTCATCCTCAGCCCATCCAAGATGTAGAGGAGTTTGAGATTTGGAGAAGCTTCACTAGAGTAAGTGTTATTATGGATCCCCCAATTGTAAGTCGCTTTGGATAAAAGCGTCTGCTAAATGATTAAATGTAAATGTAAATTATGGACTCATATTTTGGCCAGAAGCAACAGTTTAATGGTAAATGGTTTTAATGATGGATTTGTTTCTTACAAACACTTCAAAAGAAGTGGACTGGTGTTGTGTGGATTACTTGTGGCTTATTGTGATGTTATTATCAGCCATTTGAACTCTCATTCTGACGGCACCCATTCACTGCAGAGGATCCATTTGTGAATAAGTGATGTTATGCTAAATTTCACCAAATCAGATGAAGAAATAAACTCATCTACATCTAGAATGCAACAGCAAACTTAACTAAGGCAAATTATGTCCATGAATCAAAGTTATTATAGTTTGAGAGAAATATTGTTCTGGCAACTAGCTGAAATAAAATAAAATCAACTTAACGCACTAAAACCGAAATAAAAATTAATAAAAACTATACAGACAAATAAGAAATAATAATAGAAAATGACACAACAAAACTACTAAAACTTAATAGAAAACCAACTCAAAATACTAATAAAAACTATAATAGCATCTGGTACTAACATAATGCTTCCATGGACCACATACCTGGATTTGTGAAGACCCATGTAGAAATGTTTGCTCCACTGCTCATGATGTACTCCACATCCAGACTGGCCTCAATGCCAGCTTTCCCACCGCCCTGAGTGCCCACGACCCGCTCTACAGCAGACATGTGTGTGAATCCTCCAGCAAACAGACTCATAAACTCAGCCAAGTCAGCGGGGTGGTAGTACTGCTCCAAGAACTACTTAGTGAGGATATTTACACTTCAGAATTCTGTTCATATGATTAAATTAATGGATTTAATCAGTGAAATGTACACAGTAAATATGAGAGTTGGACCTGTGCCACTGCCTGACTGTTGTTAGTGGCAGTGCCCACATCTTTTGCTGTAAGGTTGTAGCGACTCCTAATGACTGAGGGGGTGACACCCAATTGATAGCCTAATGCTGACTGTCTTGCTCCTTCCCAGCCTTTACTGATATCTTTTCCTTTTGGTGGAAAACGGTTCCTGAGAAAGACAGATAGAAGATGAGAAACTGGTCTAATTTTTGTGGTCTCTTGATACTATAAAATTCACTCAAAATGTGTCCTTACTGCACAGTCATGACACATTGAAGGAAGTCCCGTGTTACAACTGTGTGACAGTTTTTGACCCCATGACTCTGGAGCCAATTCTGCACTACTTTCTCGGTCAGCTGAGTAGGCTGCACAAGAGTAGCCACTTCTTCCAAACTCAGGTACTTCCCTAAAAAAAATTACGAGAAAATGAGAACTTCATTTCTTTATTTGATCATTTGGATTATAACAAATGAGCGGCTCAATACCATATTGATGCGAGTCAGGGTCCGACACTAGTTTCAGTAACTCTTCCATCTGCTTAACATTCTGCTGCTTTAATGCAAATGTAAGTTCCACTTCCTCCAAAGGTTCAACCCCTTCAACTAGAATCCAGTTCTCAGGCACGCTAAAACATTGAGAATAACATTGCTCAAGGGCTGTTTCTAGTGTAAATAAATGATAGAAATGACATCAGAAGTTACCAATATAGTTCATAATTTAGACATCATTTATAATTATTGCTAGACAGAGGCATGCATGGGCTTACGAAGCATCTTGGTCAGCCTCAAGCAGCTCCCCACTGACGAGCCAAATAAAGCTCAGGACAAAAACAGCACTCCTGTAAAAATAAACACTGTCACTTTAAGAACCCACTTTAATGCACAATGAATTATTTTATAGCCAACGCACAAGAGCAGGAGGTTACTGACTTTTGTCATTTTAATTCTAATAGTCAACTTGCAATAATGAACATGCTAGAAAGCAGTACACGAGGGAACACGTTTAAGTGAACCGTTTGTCCTGACCATCTGACCTCACGAGGTGAGCCGCTGTCTGTGAGATTTACAAATAGTTTCTGCAGATGTGATCTATAAACTACGACTAGCGTAAGATAACTCTATGTAAACAACAAAATACTCACCGCATTGTTTTCGCGTTCATGTATCCCGATATCTGGAAAAACAACACCAATGCCTGTGTCCTAATGTACTGATCATGTGATAGTCACGTGACCCTCAGCTGATCTATTATTTTGATTGAGGAAGTTAATGTGCAGGATGTGTCTGCAAATAAAAACTTGCAAGAAAAGCAGAGAAAGTCTTAGCTTGCGTCCCAATGTGCATACTATCCATCCTAAATTCTATGTGGTATTAATTTTCAATACTATTTAGGGCAGATAGGGTGGATAGTATGCACAATGGGACGCAGGGTGTGTTTTCAGAACGATCTTATAAAACAGGTAACACAGTGCATATTTTTATTTGCAAATTTACAAAGGGAATTTTAAATGTTGTACTCGCATGTTATCGGTACAAAAATGACCACGATAACCACAGTTTCCAAACAAATACCACAATTAGGCTACCAGGTGTTATTTGCCTTAAAAAGAATAAGACATTTAATTAATAATTTAGCCTACATTTAATTTTAATTAATTTAAATGTATTTCTTTTAAGGGTAACACCCACATTTGTTAGCAAGAATTACAATACCAGTCCTTGTGGGGACATTTTTTGTTTTGGTCCCCAGGGAAACCGCTTATAAATCATACTACATCAATTTTTTGAAAATCTAAAAATGCTGAAGTTTTTTTTGTGAGGGGAAGTTTGTACCGTATAAAAATCATTACTTCTATGCAATGTCCCCATAAAACATTGAAACCCAACGTGCTTGTGCGTGTGTTGGCATGTGGTTACAAACACTTCAAAAGAAGTGGACTGGTGTTGTGTGGATTATTGTGATTTTTTTATCAGCCATTTGAACTCTCATTCTGACGGCACCCATTCACTGCAGAGGATCCATTTGTGAATAAGTGATGTAATGCTAAATTTCACCAAATCAGATGAAGAAACAAACTCATCTACATCTAGGATGCAACAGCAAACTTAACTAAGGCAAATTATGTCCATGAATGTCCATGGCAAATGGTATGAGCTGATTCATAGATAAAACACAAAATTGAGATATGACATACTTCGTAGTGAGTTGGTGGAAGTTTATTTAGTTTCAAGGGAATGATGATCATGATACTCATTTTTGGAAACAAAAGGCCATAATCTTTCAAAATATATAATCATTTAGACATTAATTTAGTTATGTTTTGAACTTTATGATAACACTTTTTACGTATGTCCATTTCTTATACATACATTTACAAAATCTTTGTAGCTATTTGACAGCAATGAGAAAAGATCTGTAATTGGCGTCTAATGCAGGGCAACTGATCACAAGTTACTGAAATGCTGGAGTGGAAATATACTGTAGTCAACATACTAGTCAATTATTATGAGGGGTAAAAATACCATTTTTTCACCAAGATAACCTTTCAGTCCAAGCTCATGCTGTGAGCTTAATAAATGTTTCTTTGGCTACTAGAATGTGTTTAGTTTACTGAACATTAGTTATTAACTAATGAGGTCAGGAGAGGAAGCAGAAGAATTGAGCTTCCTGGCAAAAACTCCTGAGTTAAACATGTTACCCATATACAGTACATTATAGCAAAGTGTTGGATAATCCAGGCAGCAAATCAACACACAATCAGCTGCATGTTGACATGTTGAATTTATATAAATTAGGTGTTCAGGTAGTAGCCTACCATTGGAAATGTGCTTTACCTCAACATTGTGATCCAAAGTTAAATCTCTATGGTACCATATTTTCAGCTGGACATTTTCATCTTAAATTGAGCAGATGTTAGCTGTAATGAAAAAGTAATGGATTGTAATGCTCCTTCTTTGAATCCAGCAAGTGACAAGTGAAAAGAAGCGTATGCGTGACTGATTATGTATATGATAGTCTTTATTTTTTGGTAGCTGACAAGGTGTAAATTAGTAGAAAAATGGACAGCATGAAGAAAGAATCAGATCTAAATCCATGCTATTAATCTGCATGAATGCATTCACTAATGGCTTGCACAGCAGAGGGAATATCATATAACATAGTGAATGCCTTTAGTGGCTTTATAGTCATATTTTCGTAGGTTGTATTTTTGGCCACAACAGTGATTTGATATATACAGAAATTGACTTTCAAAAAGAAAACTACACTGAGAAATATTAACCCGAGTATGAAGTGTGACAACTCTGTTCCCCCTTAGCATATGTAGCCTATAAGAAAGGCAGTATTTGTACTTAAAAGCATGGACTACTATTCCTGCAGTGAAAACGGATTTTACTATTAGCGGTTTTGTACTGTAATTTCACTTGCATAAACTTTGCACGTGTATTAGTTAAGTGTTGTCAACGGTAGATGGCAGTGTGCGCGCATTAAACGGGGTCGATTGCGCAAAAGATGTTACAGCATGAAAAGCAACTTTTCCGAATACTTCCAATAAGCTTATTTTAAATTATTATGCTTATTTTGAAGAAAAATGTCAATGCTATATAAAAAAACAATACAAGTGTACTAAGAAAATTCATAGCAAAGCAGAATAATTCTTTTCATTCTTTACTTTAAGCTCAGTCTGTTTAGCATAATTTTATTTATTTAAAAATGACAAAATTGCCAATAATATCAGCCCACTCCTATCCTGACTTTAAACACACGTTAACGCTTCCAAATATCTTTCCAAAGGGGGGCGCTGTCTGAATACAGAGCAACAGGCATTCAGTGTTACTCACATTCCAGATATTAACACTATCTAAAGAGCAAAGGGGAGTTTCCAAAGTCATCAAGTCCATCCAACTTTGCCATTTTCGGCCAGAGACCACTGAAAATGACTCCCAAGAAGACTGCCGCTCCCTTCCTATGGTTTTCTTTTTGCTTTGGGAATGTTCTTGAGGCAGTGGTGCTGGGATCGGTGCAGTACCCCTCTGATAACGGGCTGCACTCACATCTGGATGCGCGCAGTTCTGCAGAAGCCAGCGCGAGCTCTCGGAACGACTCCACATCTGTTCATGTTCCGTCTTACATGATCTCTCTGTACAGGACTCTATCGGAACTGGATCGACGGGGAAGCAACGGCAGCCAGACGCGCTCCAGGAGATATGCCAATACAGTGACCAGCTTCATTGACCTGGGACAAGGTGAGTGAGACTGATCCACCGGTGAGACAGATAGATAGATGGGTTGTAAGATGATCTGCTTGAGGCCATCGGTGCGGATTTCATTCCTTCAGATTGGGCCTGAAATGTTTATTTTGATGTATTATACTTTGCACATAAAATCATCAATTGTAATGAATGGCATAAGGTATACGCTGCAGTAATAAATCATGCTTGTAATATGACAGCTGACACTGTAAGATGATTGATCTCGGTGTGACTGATAGTAAGACTTTAAGTTTATACATGAGGACAGTTAAGAGTATATTTCACCCATGATATATAGAAATGTTCTGATGCTCTGGATATTATTATTATCGAATAATATTATTTGTTGCCGACAACAATATTGTTACTATTATTAATCATTATAATTACGAACCCTTATTATCATTATTATTATTATTGATGGCACATCATTATGACTCCAGAAAAAAAGATGGCAATAAAAATATCTGCATAAATTGGAGAAATGTGTAGTTTTGGCAGATGTTAGCTGTAATGAAAAAGTAATGGATTGTAATGCTCCTTCTTTGAATCCAGCAAGTGACAAGTGAAAAGAAGCGTATGCGTGACTGATTATGTATATGATAGTCTTTATTTTTTGGTAGCTGACAAGGTGTAAATTAGTAGAAAAATGGACAGCATGAAGAAAGAATCAGATCTAAATCCATGCTATTAATCTGCATGAATGCATTCACTAATGGCTTGCACAGCAGAGGGAATATCATATAACATAGTGAATGCCTTTAGTGGCTTTATAGTCATATTTTCGTAGGTTGTATTTTTGGCCACAACAGTGATTTGATATATACAGAAATTGACTTTCAAAAAGAAAACTACACTGAGAAATATTAACCCGAGTATGAAGTGTGACAACTCTGTTCCCCCTTAGCATATGTAGCCTATAAGAAAGGCAGTATTTGTACTTAAAAGCATGGACTACTATTCCTGCAGTGAAAACGGATTTTACTATTAGCGGTTTTGTACTGTAATTTCACTTGCATAAACTTTGCACGTGTATTAGTTAAGTGTTGTCAACGGTAGATGGCAGTGTGCGCGCATTAAACGGGGTCGATTGCGCAAAAGATGTTACAGCATGAAAAGCAACTTTTCCGAATACTTCCAATAAGCTTATTTTAAATTATTATGCTTATTTTGAAGAAAAATGTCAATGCTATATAAAAAAACAATACAAGTGTACTAAGAAAATTCATAGCAAAGCAGAATAATTCTTTTCATTCTTTACTTTAAGCTCAGTCTGTTTAGCATAATTTTATTTATTTAAAAATGACAAAATTGCCAATAATATCAGCCCACTCCTATCCTGACTTTAAACACACGTTAACGCTTCCAAATATCTTTCCAAAGGGGGGCGCTGTCTGAATACAGAGCAACAGGCATTCAGTGTTACTCACATTCCAGATATTAACACTATCTAAAGAGCAAAGGGGAGTTTCCAAAGTCATCAAGTCCATCCAACTTTGCCATTTTCGGCCAGAGACCACTGAAAATGACTCCCAAGAAGACTGCCGCTCCCTTCCTATGGTTTTCTTTTTGCTTTGGGAATGTTCTTGAGGCAGTGGTGCTGGGATCGGTGCAGTACCCCTCTGATAACGGGCTGCACTCACATCTGGATGCGCGCAGTTCTGCAGAAGCCAGCGCGAGCTCTCGGAACGACTCCACATCTGTTCATGTTCCGTCTTACATGATCTCTCTGTACAGGACTCTATCGGAACTGGATCGACGGGGAAGCAACGGCAGCCAGACGCGCTCCAGGAGATATGCCAATACAGTGACCAGCTTCATTGACCTGGGACAAGGTGAGTGAGACTGATCCACCGGTGAGACAGATAGATAGATGGGTTGTAAGATGATCTGCTTGAGGCCATCGGTGCGGATTTCATTCCTTCAGATTGGGCCTGAAATGTTTATTTTGATGTATTATACTTTGCACATAAAATCATCAATTGTAATGAATGGCATAAGGTATACGCTGCAGTAATAAATCATGCTTGTAATATGACAGCTGACACTGTAAGATAATTGATCTCGGTGTGACTGATAGTAAGACTTTAAGTTTATACATGAGGACAGTTAAGAGTATATTTCACCCATGATATATAGAAATGTTCTGATGCTCTGGATATTATTATTATCGAATAATATTATTTGTTGCCGACAATAATATTGTTACTATTATTAATCATTATAATTACGAACCCTTATTATCATTATTATTATTATTGATGGCACATCATTATGACTCCAGAAAAAAAGATGGCAATAAAAATATCTGCATAAATTGGAGAAATGTGTAGTTTTGCGTGAATTAGAATTATGCGGATAGCCTGTCCTTTGGCCGTTCAACTATAGAGACATCATTTATTAAATACTCTGCCTCAGTGATGGATTGTTATAATATAAATTCGCGATCCCATATGTACAGCTCGAGTTTAATTTCGTTCAGGATCATCTACTTCTCAATAATATTTTCGAAATACATAAAATTCCCAAAAAGAAATATGAAGTCAAATGTCTCAAATTTCCAACATCTGTGACAAATAAACTTGAGCAGCACCTTGAGCTAAAGTATCTAAAACGGAGCACGCGTTCTCCCCTCCAGGTGTTGCTGATAAAGATAGAGAAACATTTTAATTTAAAACGTATGTTCAAATAAAGATTGTCACGTAAAATACAGGATTTGTGAAATGCAGTATGTCAGCTCTCCTCCGGACCAAATATATGGAGATATGCGTGAAAAACTTTTATTTTTTTTAGTATGCAAAAAGGTTCTTCTGTGTTCGATATATTGAAGTGACATTCATATATTGACAGGCCAGTTATTACATTTGAGGGCACAGCCTTTGAATAATAAAAAGTGCACAATGCCACAGTTGTTCAAGAATATTAAGGGTAATAATTAGCATTATATGCATTCCAAGCATTATATTTCCCCTCATATTTTCCCACATTTTGCGAATAGTGAAGAGTCATGAAATTTTATTCGAACTCTATTAGTTCTTATAAAGTAAATATAAAACCATTGGCATCACATTGGCACACACACAAAACGGGACACAGCGGTAGATATGACATCACAATCTTAATATATTAAATGAGTAATGTAAAAAAAAAAATTTAAATCAACAATTTCAATAGCATTTTTTCTGACATTAATCTTAGACTATGCATAGGTATATGAGGTAGCAATCATTCTGACCAGTTCAAGTGCTAAAATGAACTGTGACGTTTACATATTTAATTATATACCTTCACATATACATCTGATGCTTATGGGTCCAGAATTTTGTTGTTGGTTCAATGGTAATGTGTTTGGTTTGAATATGAGTTGTTTCTGGTTCAAATCTGGCTTGGGAGTGCAGCATGGCTTTGTGTAAAGATTGTCCCACCTGTCCCCATCATAAATGATGCCAATGCAAAATGTTAATGTAAAAAAATAAAAATAAAAAACTACATCCATAACATAGTTTGGTGACCAAATTATGACTGTGCATTGTCTGAAGCCAATAAACAGCAAATACAGACACTAGATGTAGGCCCAAGGAACTTGAGTCCCTGCCTGCCTCGGCTCATTTTCTAGGTTATGTCATTGTTTAGTCTGGCAAGCGGATATTAGCTTTGAGGAGGATGCTTTACTCTATACCCCTCCCCTCTGTTCACCTTTCATTTTTATAGCATTCCTTTGTCTCAGAAAGGAGAGAAATATATAGTGCTTTTCTTTCAAAACACCTCTTTTGGATGCTCCTTCTCATGTAGCGCCATAGGACAGGTACAGCATTTGTGGCCAAACCCCAAAAATCTTGTGGCTCGAAACAGTTTACAATTACCATTATTCTCAAGGTTCTCTCGTAATATGACATCAATATGATATTTCCCAATCTGGCCTTGGGTTTTTGTACAGCCAGCTCATATTGGAAGAATCCTCTTCATGTTTACCCCATGAAACTGTGGTCTCTATATCAGGTTGCATAGTACTCTGGGTTCCATTTCTTGAACTGGATGTCAAGATGTCAACATTGAAGCTTGTTTTACTCTGAGCGTAAAGTCTGGTCTCTCTTAGCAAAGGTTGGTTCTGCATCCTTTCAGTCACGGATGAGACTGAGTATTGGATGTGTTCTTTTAGCCTATTTCTTTCTCCAGACAAAAAGGATAGGACAACATCTTGCAGTCAGAGATTTTGTTCCCCGCAGTGATTTCAAGTTAGCTGTGCGAATAATGAAAGACCACTTCCAGTTCATGGTGGCCACAGAAAACTGAGGTCCACCTCAGCTTGAAATGTTACCTAACATTTAATTACACCCTTAAGCCACCCACCTTTCAAATTTACTACATCCTCCTGAGGACATATAGTGGAAGGAGGAAGGCTGAGCATTTCCAATGTCCTGCCAAACCTTCTTCTCACTCAATCAGCGTAATTAGCAGATGCTGCCAAAGGCCGACACAGTCTGACAGGTCAGCCAAATGCTCTCCACCTGGTCTCCGTGAGCATGCTGCACCTCGTGTTTGGAGAAATCATTCAGGCCCTTGAATGTTATTCTCATTGAGTAGAAGGACTGACAATTTGTGTATGCCATTTTCTCAAAAGCCATATGTAAGACCGTTCATAGTAAGGTGAGGAAACACATTCATGTCTGCCTCTTGCTGCATTAACTCTTAAAATTCCTTCTTCTATTTCTTATTTCAATGCTAATCAATCCTTTTTCTTATACCTTCAGACGATCCTTCTCTAAAGTTCCACCAGCAGTACACATTCGACCTGTCTGGTCTCTCACGACTGGACGAACTTGACACAGTCTGACAGGTCAGCCAAATGCTCTCCACCTGGTCTCCGTGAGCATGCTGCACCTCGTGTTTGGAGAAATCATTCAGGCCCTTGAATGTTATTCTCATTGAGTAGAAGGACTGACAATTTGTGTATGCCATTTTCTCAAAAGCCATATGTAAGACCGTTCATAGTAAGGAGAGGAAACACATTCATGTCTGCCTCTTGCTGCATTAACTCTAAAAATTCCTTCTTCTATTTCTTATTTCAATGTTA